AGTTAGCTGCGAAAGAATTCATTAAGATCAGCTGTTGTCATCAAACGAAATTACTTAGTGAACGGATAAAGCATTTGACTTTTGGGAAAGTTGTTATACTGCATCAAAAATCAAAACTTCGAACTTTTGGATGTTTTTTTGACCAGAAAACATTTTATTCGCACATAATCTATCGGTCGTTCATCAGCTGATCAAAACATTGCCGGATTCTCGCTTTGTCAGAAAATTTTAAAGCATAAAATTAAAAATTACTCTACAAATAAGTTTAAACGCTTGTTCAAATCAATTCTTATCTGATTATTCATGCCCATCTATATTTGCATCCTGTTTTTCTGCTTAAAGCGCGTTAGTTGAAAAAATAAATAACATTACCCGTAATCAACTGCGCCTCTGGTTTAAAAAATATCACATAAATAAGGAGATTGATATTATCATATCAAAGGATATGGATTTCCGTATAAATACCGACAACTTTTTGTGTACGCGTAATTATTATGTGGTATAAAAATATTTATTTATATTACCTTATATATATTCATATATGAATACAGACGACAGCTGGAAACACGTGACGCGCCAAGTAAGTGGCTCAATAATGTTAAATCCGCAATGGTTAGCGCTTGGCCGTTAAGAAAAAGTGCAATCGGAGAGGAAGAAAAAATGCAGTTGATAAGGAGTGCAATCGTTGGAATGCGCGGAGTTGAATGCTGTGAAAATCCAATTTCCAGTTGCCATTTAGGGAATTTGTGAATGCATTGATTGAACTGGGCAGTACGCGGGCGCTGCAGATGACTTCGATAAGGGACGATTGCAGCGCAATGTGAAATCCTATACATTAAATGGCCCGTTGTTGTTTTTTTTTCTTCTGAAAAGCGTTAAAGCTCTTAATGTATTGCGTTTATAATAATAACAGTGATGGCAGGCGATGCATTGTGGTATTTAATGCTTGTACTTGCAACGCAGAATCAGCACGCCAGACGAGACGCAGACAGCCGACGCTGCATTGGACACGAGGATGTGAGGGCAGACAATGGCTGAAATGAAAAAGTAGCAGCGTGAAATCGGATCAACAACAATAATCAGCCGGCGGCAACAATAACTTAAAGTGATTGCATTAAGTGGGATGTGGGGTGGAGGGGAGGTTATGAAACAAAGGAAAAAACAAAACCAAAAATATAATGTAAACCCTATCGACAACAGTTGAGGAAACATTACCGTTGTTTTTGTTGGCATTGCATTCATCTATGGCTCGGTACGCTGTTGAAAAAGGTGCCCGTTAACAAACAATTCCTGCAACTGCTCACCACGGCAATGTCGCATTTCAGTTACATCATTACAAAAACAAATGAGGCCAGAAAGCAAACAAAGGAACTTCCTCAGCAACAAAGCGGCCATAATAACCATGACTGTGGAGAACAATAGAGGACATGCGACTGAATGCAACATTTGGAAAATGAAGGGGCCGACAACTGCAATGTATTTACGCAACGAAATTATACAGCAGCAACAACTAAAGCCGGTCACATCTATATTTATCACGCAATGAGGCAACGGAATCTGTAGAGCAAATGCGGTAAAGAAAGAAAATAACTTTCTGTGAAACTGAAAATAGGTTAAAGGAGAAGGTTAGTCGTTGAGCGAAACTATGTTCGAGTTTAAGCGATTTGTTAGTGAATGTGTAGAATGTACTGTAATGTCAGGATCTTCAGAGAGTACGCTGCGGTTATATTTAGTAGGGAGGTGTAACTCTCTGTCTTTGTAATACTTGAGAATCGTGGGACTACTAGAAAATTTAGAACGAGTTCCTAATTGAGTATATATATATAATATATATAATACCAATAGTCCTCGATCTTTAGAAAACCAAATTTCTTTATAAAAAAATATCAAATGTGATTATTTCAGTATGATAATAAAATCTCTGTTAACTATATTCGTAAAACTCACATGCTGAAAACATTTAGATTCAGGATTTAAACCAATACCACCTGAAAGACGACTTCGTCTCTTAATAGCTGTCGCAAGCTGATATTCCTCAAAAAAAACCAAATAAAAAAAAAAACGTGATCGCTTTTAATTTCCACATCATTTAGCTGAGCGAATTGAGTACAATTGCTGTCAATTGTTCTAAGGACTTAGAACAACCGCTTAGCCGAAAATATATCAACACTTATGTAGCGCATAACTGCATAAGACCTACACATGCCACATACAGAGTTAGTGCAATTTTCACAACAACAGCTGAACCATTTGGCAGACAATGGAGAGAGAGCTCTACAACCGCAAAATGCAATAGATGCTACAACCACTTACCGGACCATGTATGCAGTTAGGTAGGTACTTTTACCACTATAGTTGGCAACATGTGCCTGAGCGCTTGAATTCCGATGTCCTGTTTCACAACACTGCCTACAATGCGTCTAGTATTGGCATAAATTTGTCTCTTGCACATTTGTCGCGTCATTCATTGTTGCTCATACGCTTAGCACGGTCACAACACCAAAATACAGTTAAGCTGACAGACACACTCACATGCAAGTGTCATGCAACACACGAAAGCCTCACTCATTGACTTTTACTATCCCCTTACGGAGGATAACGTGCAGTGCGCTCAGCTTTTTTGCCGCGCAAACACGCCGGCGATAAGTGAAAATCTAATCAATGAAGTGCTTGACTCCATTACACCAACACACACTTACCATACACACCGTCTTTAAAGCTGCTACTTGCTTTGTTCTGCTCTATGATGCTAGCAGCGCCGTCGACGCTAACGCCATTCTTGCGCTCCTACGCTGCCGCCGAGCAGCAATAGACGCTAACGACTTTGTTTACGCGCTCTCGGCGGACTTTTGCTTTGTGTGTATGTTTGTTTGGCTTTGCTTTTGCTTTTGCCTTTGCTGGTGACTACTTAAATTTATTGCCACATTGTAATTTCACTCTCGCCGTTACCCACGTTTACGCACAACAACTTGTATGAATGCCAATTCACAGGGGCGGTTCAGAGGTACAACTGCGCCAAATTTTGAAAATAATATTTGGTAGATATAGTGGAACGTTGCATTTTTTCTTGACATTTTCTCCTCTTTGTGATATATTCAATAGAAAGAAAGCCCTAAAAGCCTCTTAAGTGACTTCGAATACCTGGTGAGGTTTATGAGAAGTCTTTTTCTTGACAAAGATACATTCAGTGATTTGGCTTTGCTTTCCGAAGGATTTTTTTTCTCTCATAAATTTACATTTTGTTCGTATCCGAAAGCTGAAAGCAGTCAAAGACCCCCGGCTCGTAATAATATATGTTTGCCAGAAGAGTTCTTCAATAAGAAGTGAAAATGATGGATATGAGCCTGCTTGTGAATATTTATGTATTGCGTATACGCATTTATTGGCTTGAATCGATTCCATTCCTATACGAAAGGATAGCTGAGGTAAATATATTATCTGTATTATAAGCTTTAGATATAGCATTCCCTATTTTATAGAAATAACTCATATTTATTAAAAACTATCTATTTCTGGTTACAAAAAAAACTGTTATATCTATTATATCTGAGGTTCTTGACTAATGAAGGATGACATACCTCTTGCTTGCCTTATTCTAAATAGAAGAACAAAAATGTTATCTCACTACCTCCCTGTTTTTAAATCAGCTCTCCTATATTAAATAAAGTGGTACATAAATACCCTAAGCATTCTAAATATTCCTAAGCTTCGAGTATTCTGAAGTCAGTCTAACGAAAAAGCAGGGCACACTACTCCCATAACCTCACTAAAATTGCTCCACAAAATAATAGATAGAGGGCCAAAAACTTAGTAACCATTAATAGTTAGAAAATGTGGCAACTACTTACCTACTGACCCAACACTCACTTACTCAGTCAGAATGTAACAAAGTTGTGACAGGCGCATAAGCGACGAATGAAAAGTCAACTGAGCAACTGTCGTACCAAACGCGGCAGCAGCCTGCGAACGAGAAAATATGCCGATAAACGGAACAGCACCAGACAGACAGTGCGCCAAGCGAGGCGCCACCAATGCATGTTTGCAGCCATCATATTCTCACACAGAGCGCCGGGTGTGAGCAGCGATGGAAAGTCCATTCATTGTTCAGCCAATTTGCAAATCATTGTCAGCATTGTTGTTATTGTTTCTGTACTTACGGTCGTTGTTATTGTATTGTAATATGGTACGCTCGTTGATGTTTGTGGGGAAAATGCCGGTTGAAATGCCGTGGTTCCATTTAGCCAACGTCATAAATAGTTGACATAACGAACCTGACAGCGTCGCTGTCGACGTTGACGACGACAACGCCGACGACTGAGTGTGTGCTGCGACGCTGACGTTGATGCGCTAGTGTTGGCTGTGCGAATGTGCGGATGTTGTTGCCGTTATGACCGTTGGTGTCGTCAACATAATGTTGTCGTACTTGATCGTCTATTGTTTACCCGCTGTGTGTGACTGCTTGGCGAAGGACTGAAAGGATGTGCGGGCATACATATACACATACACACATATACAAGTATATACACATGTATGAATATTGAAATGAGGCAAGCGTGCATAAATGAGCGAATTGTTGTCGTGATGCTCATAATCGCTGATAACGCAACGTGAAAGCTTGTAATGTGCAGAATTGCTGCTTGTTGGCGACTTCCGTCAGTTGGCAGGAAGTGACGTACTGCAGACGAATAATGTGCTGTCTGAATTTGTGTGGGTGTGTATATGTATATGTGCACTTGCATACATTAAAGCGGCGAACGAGTTGTGGGGGAGCAAGAGCTGATAACAGATAGTTAATATGTTGATGATGTTCGCCCCGTCCAAGACGATTCTTTTAACCCTTGTAAGATAGTAACGGTACTCTTGGTATACAGAAGTTGTTGAGAGGAAACCACTATTCGGTACTTTGTATGTAATTCGTGAAAGAAAAACTATGGTAGGTAGTAGAGACTATTCCAATTTGCACCCGTAAAACAAGCAATGGAATTCGACTCTATTAGAATCTCGATTTATTTAGTAAATTATAATCCTTATAACTTTTGCTCTCGTTCAACCCTTAATTTTAACAATTATTATTTTTACAATAACGGAGAATTAGTGTTAGAGAAATAGTCCCTAAACTCATGTATATATTCCCCATATTTTTATTAATATTTGAATATCAAGTCAGACTTCTATCGGAAAAATTGTGTAAGGAATGTAAAAAAGCCCAAAATCCTTATGATTCTTCAGTTGGGTTATCGGAGTATTCTGTAGTTATAAAATAACTTCACAGAAACAGCTGATGGTCATTTTGACCGCGATCTGTAAGAAGTGTGTGGACTCGGTGTATGGTAAGTGAAATGTTTTGGATTTTGAACATAAATTTTGAAATCACATGTACTATTTCATTGCATCTGGATTGCATTACATATAGTTTAGATTACAAGATTGTACAGCTAACATCTAGTGGCTGTAAAAGTTTAGCTTTTCTCGGTGCTGCTAAATTTAGATGTTACATCTTTTGATAGAACAATCTTTGATAAACATGAAGTTTAGTACTCTTTGCTACAGTAGTTTAGTTGATCTTGCGTCCTTAAGTAGTAGGTATTTATTAGAGATATTTTCCGCATTTTATTATCACTGGTGATTTCGCTCTCACATTGCCGGTCGCTATAATAATTCCAAAATGATTTCTTCAATATATATGTAGATCTTCCTAAATGTAGACTAAATACTGATTTGTTGATTATTTATTCGATGATATTCTTTTACATAAAATATCGCAGTTTCTGTGTCTGCTATCGTTTCATGCTTAAAAACTGAATATTATCTCGTAAACATTATGTCAAACCAATATTTCAGTGTTAAACCCAAATTTTAATGGAAGGTTTATTAAGGTTAAGTCACAAGATGCCGTAAAATATTTGGTACGATGATATGGGTTAAACATTATGATAATGATATAAGCGCTTCACGTGGCGCCAATATTGCTAATGACACTGCAGCGGGTCTGTCACAATTTTTAATAAGCCAAGCAGAAGAATTCGCGCCGTAATGCAATTTTTGTCGCATTGCCAATGAGATATTATATAGATATACATACATATAATACAAAGAGAGAAAAATCATTCCCACATGGGGATAATGAAAAAGCCGTGTCACGTTTGCGACGACGAGTGGAGCAGAGCGGTTGCTGCGCGCAGAATGCAAACTCATGCCGGCTACGCAGCCAGCAAGCAGCTCAGCAAGCCAAGCCAGTCAAGCTACTTCACTCTCACTACACTTTGCCGGCTCGCTGGGGGCATAGAAACAAAAAACAAAAACAGTTTGCTTGTTTGTTGATATCACCATAGCGGACAGTTGGCATTGTTTTCATTTCTCGTTGTTTTTGTAGTCACACATTTGCTTTTTGCGTTTGCACGTTAGAAGCTTTAAGTGTTTGGGCTCCTCCGCTATTTTTCTCGGCGATTCTCTGCCTACAAGTCAAGCACAAGAGTGAGCCGCTGCGCCGACTGCGACTTATGCTGTGTTGCAGCACCAATCTCTGCCACCCACACAAGCAAACAGAAGAAACACTAGCGAATATCAACATTCAAAAGCTTCGCTTCAATACCTTGCTGCTCTCAAGGCACTCACTATGAACCACTTGACTGGTTGGCTGACTGGCTGGCTACCTCCACTGCTGCTTGGCGCTATGAGCTTCAGCTCCCACGTTGACTGCTGCGTCGCGCTCGCTGCTGTCTCTTAGCTTCTCCGTCGTTTGGTCACAGTCAGCACGCGTCTGTGTGCATGTAGTTGGCGGCATGGCTGTGTGCCATTGCTGCTTGACTTTGGCTTTTGCTCTGTCTCGGTTGTTCGTCGCTTTTTGCCGGGGGCTTCCTCGCTTTTGCGGCCTGTTGTGTGTGTGCTTCTTTCATGCTTTTTGCCCTCGCTTCGTTGGCTTTGTTGACGCCACTGCTGCTTGCTTATTGCCTTTCGCCACTGACGGCGCTGCTATCACTGCCTCTGCTACGGCTGTAGCGGCTGCCTCGGCCTGTTTGGCAGCTGACTTGTGCTTGTGTGTTTTACTGCTTTACTGTTTTGCTGTTTTGCTTTGGGGTATCATCGTTGTGGCCGTGCACGGCCTGCTTCAGTCTGTCGTTTGACGTGCACAGAGGCGGCATTGAAGCGGAGTAGTAAGTGTGATTCTACACGATTCGCTAGCGAACGGCATACAAGCGTGCGTTTTCCCACTCGTAAACGTTATACTCGTTGTCATTGGCATCGCTCGGCGAATGTGAGCCAGACCAAAAGCAACAACAACAAAAAAGTGATGAAGAAGCTGCAAACAAACCCAAAGTAGTGATTGGCAAAGTTGGAATCGACAACAAAAAAGTGTTTAAAAATAAAACGAATTTGCTGATGCTGTGTATGAAATTCCATTATTGATAAAAAAGGCGCGCGAATTTCGGTTCGTTGACGTTTTTTGCTGTCATATTGTGCTATTCTAATTGAAGGTGGGTGATGGAAGCTGTCAATATAATGCGCTAATGTGAAAAGTGTGTGAATTAATAATATTAAAATTAACAAAAAAGTTATAGTTATGCACACATGTCTACGTATGTAGATATGTATGTGACGCGAAAAAAGTAAACACAACAACTTACTAGGAAATAGAGAAATGTGAATTTTTTACGAGAATAAATATGCGACAACAAAAAATTGAAAATATAATGTAAATAATCTAAATGTTTGCAACGAAATCAAAGCAAACCTTGTTAGCATTTAAAAAACATAAATACGAACAAACTATCGTTTATTATTTTAAATGAATATTCGAATTTTTGTATGATCTGAAAAAGGATGAGTTGTGAAAAAATATTGTTTTTATTGTTTGCATACATTTTTTCATGCTCTTAATGAATCAAAAAAAAAATTTAAATGTGTAAAATTTGTGCTTTTAATTTAATGTTGCTCAAAAGTACGGAAAAATGAAAATATAATATTAAAAGTTTCAAATATAAAAACAATAAAATTAAAACTGATTTAACTTTCGCTAATTATGATAAAACAACTAGTGTTCATTTGTTTTTGTTTTTTTTTTTCTTAAATTCGACACTTAAAACTCATAATTTTCATGAATTCTGAATTTTTTAAGGGATTCGTTTACTATTTTTTGCAAGCAAAGTTCTTATTTTAGGAAGTGTTTAATCATTTTAATTATATGTTTTACTTTTGCTGAAAAAATCGGAAGTAGTTCAATTCTTATTAGTAGCTAAAAAATTATGCTTGAAGATTAGTAATATTCGGGTTCGATTTCATTGTTGTATACACAAAGGTTCTTAAAGTTATGGCGGCTTAAAATCTTTTTATATGATCTAAATAAACAATAATTGTGTGTTCCAATCCTTTTAGGGGTTTACATTCTTTTTTTTATACTCTATTAAGTTTGCCACGATGTTTGCAACACCGAAAAGAAAACGTCGGAAATTCTATAAAGCATATATAATATATAAATGATCAGCATGGCGAGCTGAGTCGATTTAGCCATGTCCGTCTGTCTGTCTGTGTATACGCGAACTAGACTCTCAGTTTTTGAGATACCTATCTGAAATTCTACACACGCCCTTTTCTCACCGAGAATATGATCATTTGTTGTAGCTGTCATATAACTGATCAAACTCAAGTCCTTTTACCGAAAACTCTTTTATTTAACAAGGTATCTTCAAGAGATTCCAAAGCATCGCTGCAATCTCCGAACTTGTTCCGATTTGACTACTATAGTTTATTGTTGTCGAACAAGCTGATCGATCCAAATCAGAATGAAGATATTTTTATACTATCTATTTACATCTATAAAAAATTGGTTGCAATAGCTCGATTGATCTTGTTAATAATGTTGGATATATGTGTCACATCAATATATTGAGGAAACGTTTGTTGTATTTTAATGAAGAAAGTATTTTGAAAGTTAGGTCTAACTAGAAAATATTTAAAGTAAAACAGCCTTTGAGAAGCGAAACGAACTTTTGATTGAAATTGATGAGAATGTTGCAAACTAATAAATATTTATACTTTTAAAGTAATAGTTTCTAATATACATACTACATAGCGAAACAATAAAGTGAAGTGGAAAATAATAAATAAAGAGCATATATTTATTTTCACAGGTCAAGTGTCTAGTGGGCAACCTTCAAATTGTAGAAATACAAAAACAAAAAATTAAATTAGAAAGTGAAATCGAAGCTTAATTTACGATATTTTTGGAATTATAAATAGGTAAACTTCAATCGCATTCAACTAAATAGTGCAAAACAACAACAATCACAACACATGTGACACATTTCGAAATCACTGTGGCAAAACAACAAATATTGGATTAAAAGACCATATCTGTACTAAAAGGTATGTATATATGTATATGAAAAAGAAATAAATGTAGAAAAGTTTTTGCTTTCTATTAGAAATTAGGTATACTCGTATATAAATACATATCAGCCAAGTCAAGATTTGCGTGTTGGTGGTGTATATCTGACAGGCCCGCTATGCATTAATGTTTGTTTAGATTGTCACTCTGAGAAGTAGCAATAGGTCTGCACAGATATAACATTTCTTATTAAATTCTCATTTAGCAAATTTTTACAGCGTGAGCCTTTTATGTTTGAGATATTTTTTCGCTGGCGTAGCGTAGAGATTATATCCACTTGCAAGTAAGAAACAACCTGTTTTATGTGAATTTTTTTGAATAGTAATTTTATCTAATAAATAAATTTAATATGTTTTCCCCTGATGACATAGTCGATCTCCAGCAGAACCTCTGAAAAAAGATGTCTGGCGGTGAGAAACTGGAAGAGCTAAAAAAACAAAATTTTATTACTATAGATCAACACATGTAATCTTTCGAACATTAAGTAAAAAAAAAAGGACTAGTGATTTTGAAATAATAGTGGCTTCCCAAAGAAACTATCGTATTTTGTGAAAAAATTTACACTTTTGACTGGCTTAAAATATTATTTACAAAATCCAAATTAATATCAAAAACTGGTTTTGTTGAGCATTTACTGGCAAACATATCTAATTGGTGTGTTTTTTTCGGAAATTGGTTTGAAAAATTTCGGGAAACAATTTCTTTCCGTCGCTAAAAACAGCTTTTGGAGATAATGGCGTTTACAATTTAAGAGCAGATTATGCTAAGTTAAAAAATTCTTACAAATACGCTTATACACCAAAACTATTTTTCGGTTCAACTTAAAATTTTCGGAGCATATTTTTAAACTTATACACATATATACACCCGATATATTCCATTTTTGAAATTCACAATTAGTTATAACCGCTTCAAGCGTCACTAGTGTGGTTAGAAGATAAGGTTTTTCAAACATATCTAAAAAAGTCAACATATGAGTTATTAAAAGAAATATAACACACTCTGTATAATTGAATATATTATGTTATAACACGCTTCTATTAAAGCGCCGCTCTAAAAAATATCAAAGTTTACCAAATATTTGTCACTCAACATGGGTAAGCTTTTAAATGTCACAGTGGAAAAGTCTGCGACCTTCAAAAGAATTTATGTTTTGCTTAGCACGATAATTTATGACAAACAAATTGTACAAATTCCTATAAAAAAGTATTCGTTAATATGTATATTTAATATAGAGTTGTATTGCAGTCAGACGCTAAACTGTTATTTCTACCGAAACCGAATCGTGCAACCTTAGCAGGCGCTACTGTGCACTCTACAGAAATATGTTGTTCTTATTGTTGTTTTTGTTGTTGTGCGCTTATCGCTACCAAGTATCTGCATAATAATTTAGCTTAGATTGAAATCTGGCGCTGAAGCGCACTTACTCAGCCTTTTTTGCTGCTCATCTAGCTTCTATGCTAGTGGTTGACTTTGTTGTTGGGCAGAATGAAGTTATTGTTGTTATTGTTATTTATTAACAAATATTTGCTTATCTAGTTTTGATTATTCTTTGTAGGCTTCATTTTGATTTCCTTCTCTATGGTCTTCTTTGTAAATTACTTAGTTTCCTATTTTACATCTTTCGGCGTGTTTCTGTGCTTCACTGCTTCGGCGCAAGTTTATTGTTGCTTCGCATAAGCTATTCATTTTTTCCTTATCAAATTAGCATATTTTATTTGCATTCTCAATTTGTTTAGTCGTTTGAACAAATGTATTTACGGACATAGTTGTTTGTGTGTATGTATGTTTGTGTGTATGTAAGCTTTGCCTTGTTTTGTCTTTGGTTAGGTTTTTGGAAATCATACATACATATGTACATATTTACTTGATTTTGTCATTGCTGCACGAACAGGTTTCGATGAACCAGGCCGCGGGCGAAGCTTGTAGAAAAGCTGTTGAGGCATTTGTTTCGAGCGTAAACTAAAATTGACATAAAGAAAACTAATTAGGGCCATGGCATGTCGCTGATAAAAAGTAGTCTAGTTTCGTTATCTTATGTATAGCTTTTCATAATTAATCACAAAATATATTTTTATGTAAATTGATTTGATATTTTATGCAATTTTCTTTAAGACGTATTAACGTATTTACTTCTAATATTGAAAAAATTCCTTATTATATAGGTGCTGTATGCGCATGATTTCAATTTGGTTGTACGGTTTAACACAATATTTTAATTTTTTTAACGATAGCTGGCAACTCTACTCCGATATATATGTATATATTAACGAAATCCAGAATATTTCCATTAGGACTTTCTTATGCTTGAAGTATGGTATCTTAACATCCTAGTGTTACTTTTTTGGAGGGTGGTAACTCTATTGTGGTTATTATTGCATATTTAACAAACACATCACGGAGTGTTTTCATAAGCGCCTTACGTTGGTCATATATTTTGTAATCTTTAGTTTTATTAATTTTGACGTCACACATATATAACACACAGTTTACTGTCATCCAGAAAAAAATTACTAACTGTTTTAGCCTTCATATTAAAAATGAGTGAAATATGACTTTTCTTATTCATTTAAACTGATTTTGTAATCTTATAACAATCGGCCTGTCTAACGTCTTAATAATCTATACAGATATTATCGGCTTCTTGAACCTAGGTGATTTTATGATATCAGATGAAAAATAGTCTGAGTCAATTGGATCCCCATAGATTAAGTGTTTGGTAGCTTGATATTGAATTTATGGTGGAAGAATAATTCGAGGTGTATGAATTAATGTATTATTGAAAACCTAGGCAGATAGATAGGCAGGTTGAGAGATCTATAACAATTCGCTGTAATTTTTATCAAAATACTACCCTTAGGAGCCAAGAGACTTTTCTACTTTTAAACAGGCTTAATGATCAACTTCTTAGTCAATAAATTCAAAGGTTGATAAGTGATGCACAATATTTACAAGATTTATAAATTGCCTAATATAGTCGCATTTTTTGTAGTAATTACCCAAAAATCTCGTATTTTTTAGAAAATTTGTTTTCATGTTTTTTTGTGTTTTTGTTCGGTTTCTGCATTGTTTCAAAACAAGTCAAGGCGAAGTCGTACTGAGTTGCCAGATTTAGTTGTAACTGTGTTATGAAAATATACGACTACAATAAAAGAAATTTAAATTCATTTCTTAGCTATTAGCTAAAATTCTTTACATATTAATTTTCACATAATTGCCAAAAATTTTGGTCTCAAACAAACAATTTGCATGAAAATATATATTTTTAATATTTATAAGTTTGTAAGCCCGCCAATAAATCATGCTGAAGAACTGAACATTTCATTTTCTATTTTTAATAAATTTCGATGTATTTTCGCATAAAACTTCGTAAGAATGTGGGAAACACTACGCGCCTTCCTCCTCTCAGTCAGCTTATCAACAACCTGCGGCACATATGAATGTCTAAGGTAGGAACGTATGTAAGTGTGTTTCAAGAGCATAACGTCAATAGTGCTCTTCACCGCGACTATAGTAGCTGTCAGTTTTATAATTCGTTAGGTTGGTACGTATGCAATAAGTGCGCCAAGTACTGTGACCCGCTTATGAACAAAATTGGCTGTTTTAGCCGCGCTGGCTGCGGCTCTAAGGTTGTGTAAAATGCAAAGTGATGAGTTACATCGAATGGCACATGCGGTTACCAACAATTAGTTGCGTTGCTTGCTTTGTTTTAGTAGCACGATCGGCAAGCATCCCAAAACACTCTCAGACAAATCGCCGCGTAAGAGCATATATTATACCGGTAAATACTAGCATACAACCAAATTTGTGTACATATTTGTGTGCGACATGTTATTTATGCACGTATGCCCGGAATAATCCGATTTAAGTGCGCGCTGGAATGATGAATGACGGTTGTTTTGTGTTTGCCGACTTCAAGTAATTTGTTTTATTCACAACTCATACCTAGATGTTAGAGTGTGTGTGTTAGTATCTCTGTAATACTCTACATTGGCATGCTCCATTGTTTGATTCGCTATGGCTAGTAGATAAAATTGTGCGAGGCGCGGAAACCCCTTAACGGTGACGTATGAAAAGCGGAAGGAACGCTTGATAAGCGAAATTTATTGTTTATACTTTAAAATGCTCGATAAAATAAGCATGGCAAATGTATAAGTATGAGAAATATTACATAAATTGTATGAACATATTTATATATATTATATTTATATTTATATATGGAATGTTTCGGTTAATGATTTTTAATTTAAAATATTTATATGCGTATGTTAAGGTTTTGTTTCTTTAATGTTAATTTTTCAATAAAAACCAGAAAAACTTTAATGGTATGCCATAGTGACTCGATCTGAACAAGTTCCTCAGAGATTGCATTGTTACTTTGGCCAATAACCCATTCCAAGTTTTGTGAAAATATTTTCATAAATGAAAAAGTTTTCCATACAAGGACTTCACTTTATCGTTCAGTTTCTATGGCAGCTATATGCTATAGTAGTCCGATCTGAAAAATTTACACGAAGATTACGCATTGTCTTGGGCAATAATATATGACATATTTCGTGAATACCTTGGGAAATAAAAAACCGATATCGGCGGTTCTGACAACTGTACAGCTTCTTGGAAAGAAAATGACTAGTTTGCATATGTACAAATATAAAGACTGATTAAATCGGCTCAGCTCGTCCTGCTGATTATTTATACATACATACAAGTATACTTTATAGGGTACCCCAGCGTTTCCTTCTGGGTGTTACAAACTTAAAGGAAAAGCTAATATAACCTGTTCAGGGTATACAAATATCTATGGGGTTCTGCTTATATATGTATATAGGATTTTCAAAATATCGATGTTTGGCTTAAAGTACACTTTAGAGTTCTAAAAACATTATTAATTTGGTAGAAAAATGAAATTCCCTGTCCAATCCTTTGCAGTGTCGACGCTTTTATGATCAGTCAGCCGAAGCACGTTTTCGACTTTATT